CCTAAAGTTGTTACAATAACCTTTTACTAAAGTCTTTATTTTCTCTGTAACTATTTTATAACTATGAAAAACAAGAGTTCTCCCTATTCATTCCATATTTGGAGTAGATTTCCTGGCTCCTTACTGTCCACAATGTCCCTTTCATGCTACTCTCCCTCCTCCCTTACCTTCCTCCCCTCCCCAGGGTGTACTTAACTGCCTTGGCCCAAGGGTGGCTAAATCCCAGAGACTGGAAAAAGAGTATCTTTTTAGGACAACGAAAAGTAACACCAAGCCTGGTATATGCTCACCAGCTTCCTTGCCCACGGTCATCTGACTCACCTATCCTAACTACAGAAGAAACTGGGGCACTTGCAGATAAGGAGGGAGTGGAATGCAAATGCAGCTCAGGTAACAGACACAAGTCCGCCAGAAGTGCCTCCTGAAAATGCGTGCGTGCCCCGGGCCAGAGCCTGCCCCCAGCCTCTACGCAGAGATGAGTGGGAACAGGTAGGAACTGACTCCAGTTTCAGTTCAGGTAAATTGTGAAGTGCTCAAATATGGCTTCTTTTAATTTGCAGTTCCCAGAATTTTTGCCGGGATCCTTGGCAACAATGCATGTTCTGTGGTAACCATTCCCAAAGATCGTTTCAATGTTGTCGCTGTTTTCTAAAGCTCAATTTTCGGGAGCCACGTAACTTCACCCAGGTGCTTTGAAAATCACCTATGCACAGAGTTGTAAGTGATCCTTCAAAGCTGAGACTCCTAATGGTACCACAAAGGGAGCTGTTCAAATTACCCAACGATTGGTACAAGAGCCTCTTACCCAGGGATGTAAAGCCAGGGCCTAGAATAATGACTTTCTGACAGCATTCTTCTGAAGACATGACAGTCTACAGACATTTTATATGCATTTGTCTTATGACTATTTTAACTGCCATAATAAAACACCAACACACACACACACTCAGATGTGTTACACCGAATTTTACATATCAGAGAACAGCTACGAGGTACACTGTGCTGCCAGGATAACCCACTTTTGCGCAGATCTCAGAATAAAGCTTCTTCTGCCATCTCTATTTACTTGGAAAGCATCCTGAGATTGCAAGACTAGCTATTTTAAAATGTGATATTCGTTTCTGCTTAACTGGTGAATAGGGAGTCTCTCCATTCCATGCAACCAGGACAAAAATCAAATCTCCCTTCTATTTCTAATTTGTGTTCCTCAAAACTGCCTCACTGAAATCAGTGATTAGGTTTACACTATTATAGATTTAACAATGAACTCCCAAAATACAATCCCAAAACATCACTACATTACGGGTTCCATGAAAAAGAAAAACTGTTTTAAACAGGCACTACCAAATGTTTAAGTCTGAAAACCACTGGCCGAGGCTCATGTTCCCTTAAAAAAGCTGCACAACACAAATTCCAGCATGAATACTGTCTGAAAAGTGACTATGGCACAGGGCATGCTGCTGAATTCAGTTAGGTCCTAGAGACTGGGGAACTAGAAAAGCATTAAACACACTAGCCATGCAAAATGAGCATGGCCTACTGGAAAAGAATCACAGTTTCCATATTGCAGAATATCTGAGATCAAAGATAATTTGTGACTGATTAAGTATAGGTCAAACACTTCCAAAATTCTGTATGAGAGACAGTTCTTTTTTCATGTCCTCTTAAAAAACAAGTTTACATTTTGTTAATGAAAGACAGCACTACCACCAAAATATTAGGGATACATGTCACCCAAAATAATACCCCTATGCCTTTCAACATTTTTTTAAGTTAACTTATAGTTATTCCAATCAAGCCTAATTAAGATGTCCAAAAGCCATAAATAAATACCTAAGAAAAAAAAGATATTAAAGGGATTTCAGTCCTGATGCGTTGGCTCATGCCTATAATCCCAGCACTTTGGGAGGCCGAGGTGAGAGAATCGCTTGAGTCAAAGTTCAAGACCAGCCTGGGTAACATAGTGAGACTGTCTATAAAAAATAATAATTAATGAGGCAGGCGTGGTGGCATGTGCCTGTAGTCCCAGCTACTCAAGAGGCTGAACTGGGAAGATCACCCGAGCAAGGCTTGTGACTGTGATTGTGCCACTGCCTTCCAACTTGTGCAACTCAGTGGGACCCTGTCTCAAAAAACAGGTGTGTGTGGGGGGTGGATTTCAGACTAACTTTTCAAAGAAAACAAATGGACAACAAATGGGTCGTTTTAAAGAGAACAGCAAAGAAAACAGAATGATTCAATTTGTATGCCACTTCCCTTCCCTGCTCGGTTTAATAAGAAAGGAAGTCCTGCTTCTGACCCATTTTATGAAGGATGTGGAAGAACAAGGGGTTGGCAAAGATGATGTAACCCAATTCCAAATCAAACAGAAAAAAGTAAAGTGGAGACTAGGAATGACCTTCCACACGCTTTGGGACCACCATCCTGGAGAGAGCAGACTGCCACAGTCCTCTCCCGCAAACAAGCAACAGCAGAAGTGTGAGTAACGAGAGGCCATCAGGTGTCCTGCTCCCTCTGGACACTGTTTTTCCTTCCCCATTAGTTCTCCAAAAAAAAAAAAAAAAAAAAAATTCTCAGCACTTTGGGAGGCCAAGGCAGAAGGCTTGCTTAAAACCAGGAGTTCAAAAGCAGCCTGAGCAACATGAAGAAACACCATTTCTACAAAAAATATAAAAATTAGCTGGGTGTGGTACCACATGCCTGTAGTCCCAGCTACGTGGGAGGCTGACGTGGGAGGATGACTTAAGCCTTGGAGGTTGAACCTACAGTGAGCTGTGTTCATGCCACTGTATTCCAGCTTGGGTGATAAAGTGAGACCCAATCTCAGGAAAAAAAAAAAAAAAAGTCCAGACAATGCCAAATGCTGCCAAGGATTCAGAGAAACTAGATCATTCATACATTGCTGGTAGAACCATATAATGGTACAGCCACTCTGGGAAACAGTTTGCCAGTTTCTTATAAAAGTAAACATGCAAATTCCCATACAAACCAGCGAGTGCACTCCTTGGCATTTATCACAGAGAAATGAAGAAGTATGTTCCCTCAGAAATCGGTACACAAGTGTTTACATCAGTTTTATTCCTAATAGCCAAAAACTAGAAACAACTAAGCTGTCCATCAACTAGTCAATGGGTAAACCAAACATGCTACATCCATATCACGAAGTACTCCTCAGCTAGGAAGGAAACAACTGATACAGCTTGGATGAAGACCCAGGGAATTCTGCTGAACAAGAACAGCCCATCCCAAAAAGACATGCACTATATGAGTAAATTTACATAACGTTCTTAAAATGACCAAATTATAGAAATGGGGAACAGAAGAGTGGCTACCAGAGGTCAGAGAAATGGGGAGTGCTAGGTACAGCTATAAAAAGGACTGTTAGGAGTCCTTATGAGAAGGAAACCTCCATTTTGCAGTATCAATCAATGTCATTATCCTGATTATGACATTATACTACAATTTTGCAAAATGGAAAAAGTAAAGGGTATAAGAGATCCTCTCTGTATTATCTAACTGCAGACAAATCTACAATTATCTAAAAATGAAAATTTTTAATGTTTAAAAACTACGTAAGTTAAAATACATTTTTTACACTCTGAGTACTACAAAAATTGGGTGAAGATTCATTTAGCGAATGGGAGAAGGGAGTAAGAGTCTAAGAAACACAGAATCACTTTCTAATGACATCCCCAAAAGACAACAAAGAAAGGTATTACAACAACACAGGACATGTCTAGCCAGTGTGGCCCAGATTTTTAAAAACTTGGGTTTTAAAAAAACTTGGGCTAGGCTGCTCCCTTGTGGGGGCTGTTCATGGCGGTTCCTGGGTCTCCAACATTTTTCCCAGCTCTTGCTTTGATTTTGGCCTCAATCTGTCCAAAGCAAAGGCAGCAGAGCTTGAGGTTCTTGTAGGAGTGAAATGACTGAGTACAAACTGGTGGTACCTGGAGCAACTGGTGTTGGGAAAAGCGCACTGGCAATCCAGCTAATCCAGAACCACTTTTTGTAGATGAATATGATCCCACCATAGAGGATTCTAACCACCACAGGTGGTTATAGACAGTGAAACCTGTCTGCTGGGCATTCTCAATACAGCTAGACAAGAAGAGTCCAGTGCCATGAGAGACCAATACATGAGGACAGGTGAAGACTTCCTCTGTGTATTTACCAACAATAACAGCAAGTCATTTGTGGATATTAACTTCTACAGCGAGCAGATTAAGCGGGTGAAAGACTGAAATTATGTACCTATGGTGCTAGTGGGAAGCAAGTGTGATTTGCCAACAAGTACAGTTGATATAAAACAAGCCCACAAACTGGCCAAAAGTTACAGTATTCCATTCATTGAAACCTCAGCCAAGACCAGACAGGGCGTTGAAGATGTTTTTTACACACTGGTAAGGGAAATACACCAGCACCAAATGAAAAACCTCAACAGCACTGATGATGGGACTCAGGGTTGTATGGGATTGCCATGTGTGGTGATGTAACAAGATACTTTTAAAGTTTTATCAGAAACGAGCCACTTTCAAGCTACACTGACGCTCTGATCCTGACTTGCCAGGAGAAGTATTCCTGTTGCTATCTTCAGTCTCACAGAGAAGCTTCTGTTGCTTCCCCAACTCTCAGTATTTTAGTACGATATTCTCTATTTGATAAGTTCTCAGAATAACTACCTCCTCGCTTGGCTGTCTGACCAGAGAACTGCACCTTTTGTTACTCTCTGCTATTTTTCTGCCCTGGGTTCTTCCACAACACAAACACACCTCTGCCACCCCAGGTTTTTCATCTGAAAAGCAGTTCATGTCTGAAACAGAGAACCAAATGGCAAGCATGAAAATCTACTGAAAACAGTGTCTTGAGCTGTAAAGTGGCAACTACCAGTGATTTTTTTTTTTATTTTACTATTGAACTTAGAACTATGCTAATTTTTGGAGAAATGTCATAAATTACTGTTTTGCCAGGAAGATAGTTATTACTGCTGTTTGGTTTGTCTGTAATGTTATTGGCTGTATTCTCTAAACTGGCATCTGCTCGAGATTCATAAATACAAAAATGAATACAGAATTTTGAGTCTAACCTAGTCTTCTCAACATTCATGTAATTAAATCCAACTTTCACAGTGAAATGCCTTTTTCCTAGAAGTGGTTTGTAGACTTCCTATGCAATATTTCAGTGGAGTAGATGTCTCAAACTTCCTTATGCATGAAAATGAATATCTGAGATACATCTGTGACTTATCTACCATTGAGAGAAAGCTGTATCTATATGAGAGCAGATGTCATTTTGTACATGCATGAAGTTGGTTTTCCAGAGGACTGTTTTGGGGGCTTTCCCAGGAAAAGATGAAACTGAAAGTATCTAAATAATTTCACTTAATTTTTACCTAATATCCACTTTTTTCCTAGGTTATTACCTATAAAAAATACATGTAATTTGTTTCCTCTAGCTTTCTGATAAACCTAATACTCAATGAACTTCCCATTTGTATCCAAATGTGGGTCATGCCAGAAAGCTTTACATTCGCAGGTGTTCAAATATTGTAAAACTTTGGTGCACTGTTATTTAGTAGCTGTGATCAGTGATTTTCAAACCTCAAATATAGTATATTAACAAATTACATTTTCACTGTATAGCACGGTATCCTAACCCTAACCCTAACCCTAACCCTTCTGGCCCCACCCTCTACACCTCCCCCGACAGCAATAGGGGCTTGAGTATTTCAGTTAAGTAAAGCATGATCCCACCCTCTGTGGGGGGATCACATGAGAAAGAAATTCTTCCACATTTGCTCATTGCACAGTAACTCCAGCTAGTAATTTTGCTGGGTGCGTGCAGTTAGCCCTGCAAAGAAAGAAGAGGTAAGTTAGCACAAAGCCCTTTATCGTGACTGGAAAACTCGGTACCGAGTATTTAAATCTTTTTTTTTTTCTTTTCCTTTTAAGCCATGTAGAAACTCTAAATTAAGCCAATATTCTCATTTGAGAATGAGGATGTCTCTGCTGAAAAATATTTTAAATTTCCTTTATTCATAATGTTCTTTGAAGGGTTTAAAACAAGATATTGATAAATCTGTCTACGCTGCTTAGTTTGCTCAAAACAAGAAGTTGAAATTGTTGAGGCAGGAATGGAAAATATAATTCATTGATAGTTATGAGGATCTGGAGGCTTAGCATTTTCATTTGAAGATAATACTCTGGTAATTCTCTTAAAAAATACAACTGGATAACTTTTGGTAAAAGACTAATTCCCAAATGGCCACTTTGTTCCTGTCTTCTACTATTTAAATACTTACTGAGGTCCTCCATATTCTTTTTTTTTTTTTTTTTTTTTTTGAGACACAGTCTTGCTCTGTTGCCAGGCTGGAGTGCAGTGGCGCAATGTCTGCTCACTGCTAAATCTACCCTCTGGGTTCAAGCGATTCTTCTGCCTCAGCCTCCCAAGTAGCTGGGACTACAGGCGTGCTAATTTTTGTATTTTTAGTAGAGACCACAGCCAGCTGGGACCACACTCAGCTAATTTTTATATTTTTAGTAGAGATGGGGTTTCACTATGTTGGCCAGGATGGTCTTGATCTCCTGACCTTGTGTTCAGCTCGCCGTGGCCTCCCAAAGTGCTGGGATTACAGGTGTGAACCAACTGCGCCCAGACCTCCATCTTCTATATTACTAATTTTCATTTATTACGCAAATGTCATATTACCTTGAAATTAAGAAGAAGCATATACTGTGCCCAGAGTATAATGAACCTGGAGGGTTGTGCTCCTTACTGCTAATTCTGAAAGTTTTCACAGTACCGTCATCATTTGTAAATAGAAATTCTGCTTTCCTGTTTGTGCCCCTCCTGGAGCAGTGTTACTCTGTAATTTTCCTGAAGCTTATCACCTCAGTCATTTTTTTTCTTTTAACTTCTGTAACTTGATTTTTTTTTTTTTTTAATGTCTGTGACTGGAAGTGTGATTCTTTTTCTTAAAAATCTATTAAATTTGATGTCAAATTAGGAAGAAAAATAGTTACTCATATTGGGCTTTTGTACCAACAGCCCTTGTATGTATGTACTTAAAGGTTTTTAAGCATGTTCTAAGCACAGAAGTTTCTAAATGGGGCCAAAATTCAGACTTGAGTATGTCTTTGAATAGCTTCTTAAGAAGTTACAATTAGCCAGGCATGATGGCCCACACCTGTAATCCCAGCTACTTGAGAGGCTGAGGCAGAAGGATGGCTTGAACCCTGCAAGTGGAGGTTGCAGTGAGAAGAGATCCCACCACCGCATTCCAGCCTGAGTGACAGAGTGAGACTCAATCAAAAAAAAAAAAAAAAAAAAAAAAAGTTTACACATAGGTCAATCTCAAAAAAAAAAAAAAGTTACACATAGGTGTGGACTTTGGCAAATGGAGTGTCAAACTTATAGTTAAAAACTGAATAACTTCAGTGTGGTATAAAATGTGGTTTTTAGGCTATGTTTGTGATTGCTGAAAATAATTCTAGTTTACCTGAAAATCCTTCTCTTTCCCCAAATAAAATGCCTGGCCAGCTGTCATAAATTACATATTCCTTTTAGTTTTTTTTAAAGGTTATATATTCAAGAGTGTGAAAACAAGATGCTCTGTCTAAAGGCTACTATACCTGGTATGTAAATGAACCTGTTAAATGCTGTATTTGCTCCGACAGCTTACTATAGAATGTTACTTAAATACAATAGCATACTTATTACAATTTTTACTATAGGAGTGTAATATAGGTAAAATTAACCTCTATTTTACTGGGTCTCCTGTTTAGTCTTTCACCATCCTTTAAACTGCTGTGAGTTTTTTTGTCATGACTTGAAAGCAAGCATAGAGAAACACTTTAAAGGTATCTGGGTTTTTTCCCATTCCAGAACCTGTGAGCATAGTCATATTCGCTTTATATTCACAGTCATGAGCTCCTAAGCTGGCAGCTACAACGAAGAACCAAAAACCAGTGCATTCTGCTTCTTGTAAATGATCTCTGCTAATTCATTATAAGAAGCAAGGAAAACCAGAAAAAAATCTTGAATTTGGATGATTTCTATAAAGAAGGGACTATAATTCTTGTACATTATTTTTCATCTTTGCTGTTTCTTTGAGCAGCCTAATGTGCCACACAATTAACTAAGGTATTTGTTTTCTATAAGAATAGTTTAAAAAGTATTCTTGGCACCAGAGTAGTTGTATTGTATTTCAAAATGTAAGATGATTTTTTAAAGCCTGAGTGCTGACTTAAGATCCAACTGTATGAACTCTACTCTAGAGGGAGGGAAGGGCATCAGTGGAAGCTGTAAGACTTTTATTTTTTTGTGTCATGTAACATACGTAAAAATAATTGTGCAATTCTGCTGTTTAAACAGGAACTACTGGCTTCCTTAGCCCTAAATGGAAGAGCAGATATTTTAAGTTGATTACTTTATTGTAAATTAATCCAACCTTACTCTTTTTAATTTGGTTGAATGTTTTTCTTGTTAAATGATGTTTAAAAAATAAAAACTAGAAGTCATTGGCTTAAAAAATTAAAAATAAAAAAAAAAATTGAAAACATGGGCTAAAGGACCATTCCTCAGGAGAACACTCCTAATGATGGATAGCCTATTCAAACCT